CGGTCGTCAACTGGCGTCTGGGGAACGGGAGGCTGCTCCACCGGTTTCTCCTGGGCTGGGTACGCATTGTTTTGGGGGTGTACGAGGCCACGGGTAGGGAGGGCCGCAGAATTGCGCCTTGCACAGCAATCGATGTGAAAGGTCTTGGATCCCATCTCGACGGTTTAGCATCCTAGATTTTGATATTATGCTCCACACTCTTGGCAACCACAACGGACAGCGGCCGATGAGGTGCCCCACGGCCGATCAACTAGCCTAGCGGTACCTAGGGAAGTTGGGCCAAGAACGTCCCGGGTCCGAAAGCGACGATCAAAGTTTCCGTGAGCCCCGGTGCTGAGTGCCAAGCTCCCTGGGTCTTACGGATGCGTGCTGGTCGTTATTCCATCTTCATCTTCCCGCCACCTTCAACTGCCGCTTATCTCCATTAGTTCCCCCCTAGTTCATACCCTCCATCAGGTCCACCGCATCCAGGATCATAGACCTGCTCAATAAGTACTCCCGGAGCCAGAGATACTCCTCCCCCTCCTCCTCACCGTACCGGTGCTCCTCTGAGAATCCGAAAGCACACGCAATCTTGTCGAGGGCCGCTCTTTCGTCCTCGTAGAGCCATCGGTGGCCCAAAGGTGTTCCTATAGCCCACGTAACCCGCTTCATCTGATCATTGGCTGTAAAGGCCGCAACCATCCCGATTGTGCCGGTAAATCCAACATAGCAAAGGGCGCCAGCAAAGGCAATCTTGGTGGCGCTCGCATGGTCCCAGGCTGACTGAAACTGGGCAAACTCAGAGGCCAGGAGATAGAGCGCTAAGGGCACGGCACCAGCTAGACCTGCAGGAAGGAGCCCTTTCCTAATAACTTTTGCGCGCAGATAGGATTTGGAAGAGTATGTTGCTTCCACAACTCCAATGGCAGCCTCGAGATTATCGGCCTCGATCGCCGCATTGAGAGCAGCTTCAGCAACGGCAGGATCCACGGCCTTGCTCGCTCTCCCCGGGTTGGAATCGGTGTAGCGGATGGAACCAGACACTTCCTTGGGCGTGGGTTTGCTGCCGTAGAGACCCAAGACTTGTGGCAGTGTCTGCGGTCTGCCAAGGCGAGCCTGAAGTCGAACATATTCCTCCAGCACTTGCGGGGTGATAACAACCGCGGGATGAGCGACGATCGCATATGCCGCTTCCGATACCTTGTTGACAACGTCCTCCGGCCGTAGCACAGAAACTGTAGTAGAGGTGCTAGATTGGCCAGCCTTTGCGGCATCACCTTCCAAGCCCAAGAGTCTCGAGACAGGCCTGTCTTCGGCCGCAGCAACGGCAGAGTGACTGGTCTGGGTGTCTGCTGCTTGCCTGACATCCGTCTGCGCACAAGCCCGCAGCGCTGTGAGCGTCATGTGCTCAGAGGGGATCCCCGAATGGGCAGTGAATTCCCTGGTGGTACGGTCAACGGCAGCCATGATCTCTTCCAAATCTGGCACATCCTGGTCCCCCACCGGTGAGCTGGCCTGGGCCGACGTGCTTGGCGAGGGGCTTGGGTTCTGGGTAGTACTTTGCGGTGTCTGCTGGCGTTTTGATTTTAGACATGTCTGCGAGGTCCCAAAGGAGCGAGTGGCGCTCATCCAGGTAGGCTTTGGTGGTGATAAGTTGGCCAAGCGTCTGCTGGGATGTAGTGTCACGAAGCTACGCTTGGCTGTGCGCATCGATTGTCTGCCAGAGACAAGCTCACAAGCCTGGCAGACTTGCAGGCCCAGCCCGGCTTGGTACGGCCGACGAAGCATGGCTGTGGAATAGGCGGGGAAGGTGAAGGTGTCTTCTTTTTTTTTTTGCTCGGTCCTGAAGCCGTCTAGCGCGTCGTCTCCTACACGGACTCTCTTTTCCCCAGACTGACGGTGGGTGGTCTGGATGCCGAATGAGGCAGAACAACACCCGGAAATGGACCAATCGATCGTATATGGGCGTGGGGGTAGCTGATTGTAGCTTGGGGGGTGGGGGGGGGGGTGTTATGTACAAGAGGGAATTAAGTGAAAGAAAAAAAAACTTTATGAGAAGTGAGGTTGAATCTTGGTGTTGCAGTCAAAAGAGAGCTCTCTGGGCTAGAGAAGATGGTGCAGATCCGTGCATTGGCGTTGAAGTGACCGGGGTGTGTTCAAAGCTTCCCCTCCCCGATTGAGCGAAGACCCCCACTGTATGCACCTTGCTGGCTGGAGCGTGCATCTAACGGGGTGGAAGCGGTAACCTGGGTAAAAACAGCCACACTGCCTTGGGCTAATTTTTGTTTAAGCACTTTTATGCCGAGAAGGGCAATCAACAGGTAAATCCATCATCTAGTTACTTTTATTGAAGTCAGTCCAAGCAACATGTCTACTGTGGTTGCGGATGTGACACATACAATCAACACCCCATAGCTCCCCGTCTTTGAATCTCGGATCTCGGATCAGAGCATGTACACAAGAGAATGGGAGGTTTTGGATTTGGACTATGCTGTATGACACCGTCTCAGAATAACTCAAGCTGTCTCAAACATGAAAAGACTGTTGATAGGTTTTGGAACGCAGACCCTTTTGTGTATACAGTAGTGGCAGAGTACCTATGGGCAGTGCCAAGGCTACACTGTGGCTTGACTTATTAACCAGTGGGCTTGTAATCTTATCTGCTGGAGCGCTGAGCCACAGTGCCCAGGAGTGACGCAGTACGTACCACCCCCCGATCATCTTACGCCAACCGTCCAAGGCAGTCGCATTTCAACTTCCAACCGCTTCATTGTCCGTCCAAGAGAAGGCATTATTTCTGAGCTGTATCTTTTACCACCGTTTTCCCCGGACTAACTACCGTGCACCGGCATAGCCGTCATTTTACTGCTTCGACTCCGCGCCCTTCCAATTCTTGGCCTTAGACGCCGATCGTCTTGTTGCAGCCTCGTCCCAACTCGCCGGCCTCCTTGTAATCGAAGAACACACGATGCCTCCTCCTCCTCCACCACCTCCGCCGCCGCCGCCCGGCTTTGGAGGTCCTCCCCCTCCTCCACCACCTCCGCCCCCGGGAGGCGGTGCTTTGCCGGCGCGTCCGCCTGCTGGATTGCCGAATAGGGTGTGTTGGCAGAGAGACCTGGCTGTTATGGAAAGCAAATTCACTAACCGTCTTGGAAGGGTGCCTTGCTACAAGACATCGGCAAAGGAAAGGCGTTGAAGAAAACTGTCACGAACGATCGATCGGCCCCAATCATCGGCAAGGTATCTGGAGGCGGAGGTCCCGGCCCATCTTCTCTCGGTGCCCCCCCCGTTCCTGGCCTACCTAAAGCTCCCAGCGGTCTCGCCCCTCCTTTGCCTGGAAATCGTGGGAGAAGTAATAGCGATCAGAGTGATAGACATCAACCGGCACCAAGCACAGATGGACCCCCACAACTAGCTGGCCTATTTGCTGGAGGCATGCCAAAACTGCGCAAAACAGGTGGGGGCGTTGATACTGGTGGTAAGGCGCATCTGATCATGAGTGTTGGGTATCACTAACAGCCATCCAGCAAGTCGAGAGTCTTCCTATCTCTCAGATCCAGAATCTTCCAAGTCAGCACCAAAGCCTCCAACAATATCCGCTCCGAGACCTCCAGTGGGGGCGGCTCCTGCTATACCAGGAAGGCCATCACTACCCAGCACATCGAGCGCCCCTGCTTTCAATCCATCGGCTGCCAATCTCCGAAAAACAGGTCCGCCGCCAATTATTGGCAAAAAGCCACCCCCGCCACCTCCGAGTTCTCGCAAGCCTTCGGGAGCCCCTCCACTTCCAGGCGCACCAGCACCCCCTCCTCCGTCCTCGGCCCCACCCCCTCCGTCGTTTTCGGCCCCTTCGCTTCCTCCCGCCCCTCCTCCGCCTCCTCCGTCTGCAGCTCCACGACCACCGCCGGCTCCAGCCCGCTCACAACCGCCACCGCCGCCTGCTCCAGCCGCGGCCACAAATAATATCTCGCAGAGTATCGCGGCTCAAGCAGCAATTCGTGCGGCATCCAGTGTATCGTCTCCTGCGTCAGCCCCTCCTCCACCACCACCCCCTCCCTCGAACGATGCTCCTCGCTCGCCGGCACCACCCCCTCCTCCTTCAGCGGCGCCAGCTCCCCCCTCTCTAAGCCATACTCCATCCAGCGCTTCAGGTCGAGCGTCTCTACTTGATCCGAGCAATTTCACGCTTGTGCCAAATGGTGGAGGAGCCAAGACCCCAAGTCCAACACGGAATGTGTCGCTATCACACGGTCCAAGTGGAGGTGGCGGTGGTCGCTACGTAGTACAAGACTCGAGGTGGAAGTTTACTAGTGAGGAGAACTTTCCGAAGCCAAGGGACTTTGTGGGAGGCCCAAAGAGGTATCGTGCTGGTCGGGGAAGCAGTGTGCCGCTTGATCTGGGTGCTCTTTAGAATGGGCGGCAGCAGCAGTACGTGCGGGGGTAATATTGTAGAGATGGAGGTGTAGGAGCGGAAAGTCACGGAATCAATGACTTGGCGGATGAGGTGATTATGGTTGGTATGTGAAAGGGAAGCCCAGCGTAAGGTCACTCTTGTGAGGCTGCTTGGCCGCCTTTGGTGGGAGTGTTAGAAGCGACAAGAGAACCCAGGTCACAGATGGAATATCCAATTTTAGGTAGCATTTTGTCAAAACAATCATATTGAATCAAAAATCGATAAAAACTATCAACCATCTTGTAAATCTGGTGTATCAGTCATTTCAACAGTTGGACAACATAGTCATTTCTTCCTCCACCTGTCAGGACATGATCTCGATCCCAGTTATACCCAGTTTCCCCCCTTTCTGCTAAGTGGATGTACTTGATTGATTTGAAGTAGGAAAACAAAACGCTAAATAAAGAACAACAAAACGCCTTCCAGATAACAAAACATGCCCTTCCTTGTGTGTGTGTGTGTGTGTGTGCATAAGAAGACTGTGGAACTTCCTACTTTGGGGGTATACATAACATAAGCCATTCCGTGGGAAAGCAAAAGCAAAATATGTGAGATGGGTGGGTAGAGACTGGTTTTCGATAATTCGAGAAAAGAAAATGGCGCCTACACCGGATAATGAGATTGTTTGGGGGGGAAAAACCGGTTGAAAATCGAAAATGGGGTATCATGGTAGCGACTGGTGTTGGTGGTGGTGGTGTTGGGTTCGATATGAAGGAGGGCGGGGACGTGTGAGAGTGGTTGTGTGGGAGTGGTTGTGTGGGAGTGGTTGTGTGGGAGTGGTTGTGTGAGAGTGGTTGTTTGTGAGAGTGGTTGTATCGTGTTTGTGGTCGATTGTGGGGTAGTGGGTGTGTATAGTTATGTGTAGGTGGTTGTAACTTGTAACGTATGGGGCATGATATGGCTTTGTTGGGAACCTGTGGGTCGTAGTAGAGTGGTGAGCAAGGGTCATGTGGGTGAGCAGGGTTATGTTCTCGTTACAGACTGAATTTTCATGGAAAAGGAGAGCAGCAGGTGCCTACATTTTGGCTGGGTGAGCCTCTCGTCAAGAAACCCCGTTCACTCGCTACTTCCGGAGCTGTTGGAGGAGGAGGAGGTTGTGCCTTTCTTCACTTCATAGAAGGGTTCTTGCTCATGATGGTTCACCAGGTCTGAGCAAGATTGTTGGGTCATGGTGTTGTAAGCCATCTTGTAGAGTGGTGGGGTGGTGGTGATGTGAAATGGTTGAGTGGATGAATTGGGCTGAGTGTGCGTAGGTAAACGAGGTGGACTTTGGGTAGACTTGTGAAGCTGAGATGTTGTGTGATTCCGGATGAATTCACTCTCTCGTTCACGGTCTCCAGATGCCATCTTTATACCCGTGGAAGCCCAATTTTGAGCCGCAAATACGTATCTTGATGCTGTCCATCACCCCACTCGCTGAACATGGTTCACATGAGCGGATCGACCCAGGAGCATATTGCAGATCGACTAGTCCGTTTATTGGCAGGATTTGGTGTTGTTGCATAGAAGTGCGCTCATGCTTGCAGGGTGTGGCATATCCCGACTTTCTTGGATCCCGGAGGGGGCGAGCATGGGAGGGGAGCATGGAAGGAGGGGGCCAGAAGCAAATCGATCCAGAGAGGGGCTCGCCAGCTGTTCCGTTGCTTTGTATCTTTTTTGAGCCTCAATTTTGGGAGTCTTTCCTGTCGCCCACCTCTTTCTGGCTCCTCGTTTCTTCGTTCTTTCTTGCTGATGGCTGTCATGCATGTAGGTAGTGTAGGTGCAGCATGCAAGCAGCGCACACCCGCCCTGGCTTCTCCACGGGTGGACCCAGCATCCCCAGCCGGCGTTCCGAGTTTGCAGCACTGTTGGTTCTTTTGACTGAATATTTCGCGAGCAAATACGAGTGATCTTCATTCCACAGTAAACAAGGACATGAAATATTAGGGCTCTAGGTGGAAAGCCAGCCTTGGATTGTCTGAGGTAAGCAAGGCAATGTATGTATCGAAAACTGCCTGGCAGGGCTGGAGACATCAGTTTGTACCCTTGTCTTGATGGAGGGTAGGTGCTTTATGGGAAGTAGGGGAGTGGAGGGCAGTCGAAGAGGCAGGTGGCTGCCAAGCCTCTCGCCGGTCGAGGACGGACCAATGCTTACTCACGTCCTGCTGGAAATAATGTCGTCTGTAGAGCATGTTGGCGACTGAGACGAGTTCTTCTTCTTTACACCTTGAAACTGACCGTTTTTTTCGTTGTTGCGAAGTGTTTTATGAAGGCAAGTGTTTCTGTAGACCGAGCGGCGTGCAGGTGAGCGTTTTTATATCAAATTACCCCTGGCTATGTGCGCATATGCTCGGAGGCTGTGCTGGCAATACGGGTCTTCTGAATTTACAATTCCCTCTTCGAGATAGTTTCCACACGCTGGGGCTCTTTCGTCAGGGAGCTTAAATCAACGACAACCCTTCACTTACACCAATATAGCTCCATTTTACTCTTAGTTGCCACAAATTATCTCAAAAATCTATGGTGTTGCTGGTTCTCGATTTGGATTGACATCGAAGCTTCTCGAGCTGGCGTGCCAGAAGATATCAGGATGAAACACCGCCGTTCGGAATACCCCTTCCACCTCGACTCAGAACATATTCACCGGTGAGTTTGCCGAGTGCTTTCAATTCTCACGCGACACATCTGCAGCTGTTCACAGAGTCGGACAATCTCTCGCCTGAATTCTCATGCACACTCGATGTTACACAACTAGAGGCATGAGGCTCTTCTAGGCTGGTCAAGTCGGGCTCCGATGAATGACCGCCCGACTTCCCCAGTCTCTCGAGAATCGACTGCCGAGAAGCCGTCGAGCACGGGTTTGCCTGCCACCTCATTGGGATGCTGCATTTTGCAACACCAATTCAGATGACCAACCGGTTGGGTTGTCCCCCGCGTTCTTGTCCAGCGTCCCGTAGTGTCTGTAACATCAAATATCGTCAGCAATTATTGCCACGTCAACCGGCGGGCCGAGAGACTGACCTTCTCACATTGGCTAGTGTTGTCCGTGACAAATATCGCCGTGGGGTGTCCGATCTTGAGGTTGCCTTCAAACCATCCTGTGAGCCATCCAGCTTTCGAAGCACGTAAGCCACACCGATCCATCATGGATTTGGCCTGTACAAGCTGCCGTGGTAGTCGTGGTTGAAGGACCACCTAGAAACCAAACATCGCCGACCATTGGGACAGGTCTCTGCAGGAGGCTGCAGATGCTTCTGCAGCTGTGCTGTGCTGTAGAGAGACAGTCGGGAGTCAGACCAACTTCCATGACAACCTCAGCTATCCGAGACATCACCCCCTCTATCACATCACCATGTCTTCATCCGAGGAACCCAGACAAACCACTTATTTGCTCTGTGTCCGAATACGTGCAAGTGTGTGTCGTCTGGGCTGAAAGGAAAAAGAAAGAAAACCTCTCGTTCATGGTTGCGGAGCCGGAGCGGGGCTGCTGTCGAGCAGGTGTTCCCCCCGCAGTTTGTTTCCAGTCATCTTGTGTTCATCGTGATGACTGCTTGAGGGAGGCTCAACTGTCGCATAGGGCAGCAAATCGATCGTAAGGATTATCCAAGTGTGTGGCATCCAGATCTCTCAGAAGGAAAGTAGGTGAGCACACAATTTCCTAAAGGAGAAGCACGGCAGAGGTGTTTCGACTTGGTGCTGACCCAGGCACGTGTCTGTTCTGGCGACTGAGGGATGTTCATAATGCTGTACATTTCATGATGCCTGAGGACGCCATCCTTGCGCTTATTATCAGGCAAGAATCTTCATCGACGTGACATGGCCTTTTCCGCCTTTCATTCACCCGGCCCGGCACTGGGCGAGAGCCGTCCGGTAACGAGAAGTTGCCTAGATGATGACGTCTTGCGCCTGAATCACATTTCTTCGGACTTCTAACTGATGGCAATTCTGGAATGATGTATGTATGCCACTATCAGTCCATCTACTGATCTTAAACCTTTTGTTATTGCGACCTCACGCAGCTGGTAAGCATCCCAGGTTGCATCTCTACGCAGTAAATCGTCTCAGACCTCTGGCATCTTATCGTTATCGCACCTCTTGCCGCGTTACCCCTGCTAATCAGCAAACCATCGCGTCATTGGACAGAAGCGTACCCTGTCCAGCAGACAAGCAAGTGGGGATGGTTGAGCTGGTGAGCAGCGAATGAGCTTGCAGGATGGCCCAGGATGACCTCTCCACTTTTCCCCAAACAAGCTAGTCTGGTCACGCCGACCTGCCAGCCCCAACCCACGCCCTCACGGCGGCCACTGGCACGCTCCCGTCCGTTCTGCCAAGCTTCAACCAGCCCGGCGCATGCTCACTCGCCCATCGAGGCTGGAGGGACAAAGAACGACAAAGCCTCAACGAACCTATCGACTATCAGGAATTCAACCTCGCTTCACCAACAGAGTACTCATCCACGATACCTGGCTCCCGGCGTCGCACGTCAACGTCAACGTCAACCCATTCCCCGCACTGTTCGTTTGTTCATCGAACCATCCTGTCAGACAGGTTGTCTCCTTGTTCACGGCTCCACTTTGCCCGGGCGGGGACCAGCCAAGGGGGACAGCTATCACCAAACCGGAGCGCGCCGTAAACCAACAAACACGGGGCTACAACTTGACAACAAATCACCAAGCATTTGAAAGACCTGTTGTCCATCCAATAAACAGCTTGCGTTTACGATGGGGCCCTACGATTCTCAAGGCGCCGGGCCGGGAGGGCTGTATGGCGATGCTCCGGAGAGCGCGGGGGCCACGGGGCGATCTGACGGGACATCGCCGCGTCGCCGATATGATGGTCAGTACTGCATCGAGAGTGATATCCATCTCGCCAATAAACTAACTTTTGAACATGCAGAGTCGTGGGTAGAAGTAGCCTCGCAGCCGTCGTCTTCGTCCTTGTCATCTATCGGAGATGAAATCGTAACTACGGGCCTCAGGGTCGGCACCAACTCGTACCCGCCCAGGCGGAGGAGGTCGCAACAGCACCGGCCAATGCCCGCATCTTTCGTTATCGGACATCCCTCCAGTCGTGGCGGCGCTACCAGCAGCCAGGAAGAATATGACGAGACGGAGAGTGAAGAGGATAGAGTTATGACGAGCTCAAACGAGGCAGTGCATCCCTCGGCGAATCTGCTGCGTTACCAGACTACTGTCCGCCGGGCCATAGATATCGATACTGATAGTGACGACGACGAGAATGCGACCGCCCTTGGTCGCCCGTCAGATGCGCCCGCATTCAGGCCACAGCCAAATGCCTTCTCGCACCCGCCATCACACCTAACCCACCGCCACTCAACCAGCTCAGTACCTCCTCACCACCCACCCCAATCACGGCCTCCCATGCCTCACCGCTCACACACCCGTACGCATCGCGGCCACCCGAATTTCATGTCACCTGCCTACCAAGCCGATCACGACGCCGCGCTTCGTGCTTCACTCACGACTCTGCTGTCGTGTGCTCAGGCTGCTCGTGGTCTAGGAAAGGCCGATGAGAGACGTGGAGCCGGACCCTCAAATGCCGGCATGGGTGGACTCGGTGCAGGGGTTGGTATCCTGCCAAGCTCGCAACCGATGGAGCTGAGGCTCGTTCCCGAATCGGAGCTCCTGGCCGAAGGCCCACCTCCGCCCTCCGTTGGCGGATCCGGCGGGCCGCCCAAGGCTCCACTTCGAACCGCATCCAACTCCAGTGCTCCCAGTGTCCCGTGCTCCACGTCGAGCAGAGGAAAGGAGGAGCAACAGGATTCGGCAGAGAAGCACAAGCGTGGCGCAACCAACCAGACGAAATCCTCACGGGCTGTCAAGAAGAAAAAGACCAGCTCACCTGGATTCGCCGAAGGGGAGACAGCAACCTTCCTCAGCCCGACGCTCATGACTTGGGTGGTGAGCGCTGGTGTGGTGGTATTGGTTTCCGTGGTAGGGTTTGGGGCAGGCTATGTCATTGGGCGCGAGGTAGGTCGGCAAGAGGGGAGTGCGCTGGGTTCCTTTAGCGCTGCTGGTTCGGCGTCAAACACCTCTGCGAGCTGTGGGCGCGAGCTGGTCAAGTCCACATCCGGTGGAACGCTGAGGAGGTTCCGATGGGGCTCGATGGGAAGCAGTGTGACTGCCTAGGACTTTTCCACAGTCACGAGTGACAGATGGATGATGGATGACAGGACATCTAATGAAGTTTTATGCCGTCGATGATCTTTGATAAGCGGCATTATACACACATGAATGCGCGGTTACGATAACAACGATGAGTATGGGGACGCGGGGTTTTCATTTGTCTTGGATCACATGGCGTTTTCTTTGATACGCTACGGCGACGTTGCTTACACGTGTTTGCTGGTATTATCTTTTAATAGCATTTTGATTTGACTACCTGGCAAAGGAAACAGCTAGGAGTTTTGAAATAAACAAATTTGATATTCACATTTTCTGCACATGACACATGCCTTACCCACGTTGCAACGCTTACTGAGATGCCGACTGTATACACGATGGCAATGCTAACCTCAACGACGACCGACATGCCTTTTTACGTTTTGTTTTTCTCAAACCAGAGGTCGTATCAACTTGGCGACTTCCTGGGCCGTTTCGTTTTACTCTTCTAACCTCAGCAAGAACCTTAGTTTGGACCATGCCATCTCAACCCACTAGCTCCTTCTCTTTTCTCTCTATTTTTCTGCCGCTTACAAAGGGCGGGGGCATCGGCTTACAGAGGACCTGCATATAAGAAATGAAACTACTGTCTCACTACTATACCACCCTCCCAAGTTATGATTACTATTGTTTCGTCTCGATCACACGCAAAGACACTCGACAGCGGTATTGTTGCCTTTCCGAGAGGTGGACGACTATCAAGTTTATCAACACATGAGTATATTACCGCGCAGTAGTTTGTCTGGAAGAGGTCAAGCTACCGAGTGTGGAGGGGAAGGGAACGCGCGTCTTGGTGCTTGAAGGGGAGATCCGGAGATGCGGCTTTCGGTAGGGGGGGCGACTTCGTGATGGCGTCAGGGGGTTGTTATTGGGGACCATGGGTGAGGTGTCTTGGGTAGGAAGGAGGATGAGGGGTATCAGATGAGTTGTTGTGGGCAGATGGCGAGGTTGACGAGCAAGTGGTAGTACAACCTGATGTGTGAGACGGAAGTTCTGCTGTTGATATACAGGATCAAAGACGGGGATCGGCATGAATGTGTAGGACAACCTAGACACGACGTGCGGGCCGATAGACGCGGGTCACCTCACCGGCGGGTGAGGGTCTAACCTACCTACCTACCTGGTAAGTTTAAAAAGCCATTGGTTCTCACTCTTCAGAAAGCTCTCGTTTCTAACCTGCTTGTTGTAGAGGCTTATAGTCGTGTCTTCATAGACCCTTCAACAACCTGGCTATCACCTCATTCTATCAAATCCCAAACACCGCCAGGACTCGAGACACAATGGCAAGCTCCACCAGCAGAGACAAACACCCCAACCCCCCAGCCATCATCGGCATGGCCTGCCGGGTGCCCGGAGCCATCAACCCAGCCCGTCTCTGGGACAACATCCTCAGCCAGATCGACCTCCAGCGCAAGATGCCCCCCGACCGATTCAACATCGACGCCTTCTACCACCCAGACCACACCCACAAAGGCACGCTCAACACCAAGCACGGCTACTTTCTCGACCAGCCCCTCGCCGACTTTGACGCCGAGTTCTTTGGCGTCTCGGGCAAAGAAGCCGAGGCGATGGACCCCCAGCAGCGTCTCCTCCTGGAAGTAACCTACGAAGCCCTCGAAGACCGGGGAATCCCCCTTGCTTCTGTCAGGGGTTCGCGCACGTCGGTTTACTGTGGGATGTACACCACTTCCAATGATTACCACAACCTTCAGAACAAGGACTTGGAGTACTACCCCAAGGTACGCCATCACTGGGAGGGGGAATTCCATTCTTAGTAATAGGATTTCGTACATGTATAATCTGTACGGGCCGAGCATGACGGTTGACACGGGGTGTTCGTCCAGTCTGACGGCGTTTCATCTCGGGTGTGTGAGTCCCTTCGTAGTGGGGAGGCGGATATGGCTGTTGTTGTTGGGTCGGCACTGCATTTTGGGCCGAATACGTATCAGACTATGACTGATATGGGGTTTCTTAGTTCTGATGGGAGGTGTAGGAGTTTTGATAGGGATGGGGAGGGGTATGTGAGGTGTGATAGGGTTTGTGCGGTGGTGCTGAAGAGGAGGGAGGAGGCGGTTGGGGATGGGGATTGGGTGAGGGCTGTTGTGAGGGGGAGTGGGGTTAATCATGACGGGAAGACGGATGGGATTACGCTGCCGTCGGCGGAGTTGCAGGAGGGGTTGATTAGGGAGACGTATGGGAGGGCGGGGATTGATCCGGATGATACGGGGTATTTTGAGGTGAGTTTGACTTGTTGGTGGTGTGTGGTTTGGATGGGAGCTTACAGATATACATACCTTAGGCTCATGGAACGGGGACCAAGGCGGGCGATCCTCGTGAAGCTGCTGCTATCGGTAAAGTCTTTGGCACGTCTACCCGCACGAGACCGCTTTATATGGACAGTGTCAAATCCAATATTGGACATTTGGAAGGCGCGGCTGGTCTTGCGGGTATTATCAAGGCGACGTTGGCTATTCAGAATGGCAAGATCCCGCCCAATATGCATTTCCACAAGCCTAACCCGGAGATACTCTTTGACGAGTGGAAACTCAAGGTTCCCACTTCTGCCCTGGACTGGGTCGAGTCAGATGGAAAGCCGCGCCGGGCAAGCATCAACTCTTTTGGGTATGGCGGTGCGAATGTCCATGTTGTTCTTGAACAACCTCTTGACTCCCCAACTGTCATAGTCAATGGTGTTGACAACGCCAAGACGCGGCCGTACCTGCTTCCGCTCACCTCACACTCGGAGGTAGCCGGCGAGAAAGCGATCAGCAACCTCGCCAGTTACCTCAGCAGCAAGAAGGGGGGTGATCAGCAGACGCTTATCCGTGATCTAGCCCACAGCTTCTCTACACGCCGCTCAGTGCACAGCAACAGGACCTTTGCTGTCCTGTCACAGGGGGCTGGTGTTGAAGAGCTAGCCGACGCCCTTTCATCCGGGGCATCAAGCGCTAAATGGACTCAACCTCTCGACAGTGAACAGCCTATTCGAGTAGGGTATGTCTTTACGGGCCAGGGTGCCCAGACATATGACATGGGCCGGGAGTTGATACTTCACTCTGAAGCGTTCCGGGCAACACTGGAGCGTTGCGATGAGGCTTTACAGACGTTGCCTGATAACCTGACTGGAGGATTGTTGATGAGCTCCTTCGTGATGAGGAGGGGTCGCGGCTTTCTAAAAGCAGGTTCTCGCAGCCGGTGTGCACGGCTGTTCAGGTTGCAGTTGTTGACTTGTTGTCTGATTGGGGAGTGAAGCCGTCGGCGGTGTGTGGGCATTCGTCTGGTGAGATAGCAACTGCGTATGCGGCGGGTGTTTTGTCGCTTGAGGGGGCGATTGTCACGGCGTACTACCGTGGGTTGTACATGTCTGCTGGCCTTGAAGCAGCAGACTGCATCCCAGGGGCGATGATGGCGGTGGGACTGTCAGCAGCTGAGCTAAAGGTTGAGTTGGGGGCGTATGCAGACCGGCTCACTATCGCGGCTATCAACAGCCCTTCTAGCGTGACGGTCTCGGGAGACTTGGACACAGTCACGGAGTTGAAGGAGAAGTTGCTTGCTCGGAAGGCGTTTGCCCGGAAGTTGAAAGTCGAGCAAGCTTTTCACTCGCACCATATGGCTCCCATGGCTCCGCGGTATCAGGCCGCGCTGGAAGGGAGGGAGTTGGTTGTTTGTTCGCAGAAGCCTACCGCTAGGATGTTCTCTAGTGTCACTGCCCGTGTCGTCTCCGACTCCGGGTCGCTCGGGCCGGGGTACTGGGCAGCAAACATGGTCCAACCAGTTCGGTTCTCTGACGCTCTCACTGGAGCGGTTCTGGATGAGGAGGAGAAACCAACAGTGGATATCCTTCTTGAAATTGGCCCTCACCCAGCCCTCAAAGCTCCCGCTAAAGAAGTCCTCAAACTACTCGAGCTAGACAAGACCCCTTACCTCGGCACACTCTCTCGTGACCGCTCGGCATATGAGTCCCTTCTTAGCACAGCAGGAGAGCTTTTTACTCTCGGATACCCCGTTGATTTACCAGTCATCAACGGCCCTGGCAACCGCCTCGTGGATCTACCAACTCACGCGTGGAACCACAAGAACTACTGGTCTTTGAACCGCCTCACCACTGAGCACCTCCACCGCGAAACACGACACACACTTCTTGGAGTTCCCGTTCCGGGGGGGGTTCATCACATCCCAAGGTGGAGGAATTACATCCGGTTGCGTGAGATCGCTTGGTTGAGAGATCATTGTGTAGATGGGAAGGTGGTTTTCCCCGCGGCGGGTTATTGCTGTATGGCTATTGAAGCGGCAGTCAGACTTGGGGACCGTAGGAACGAAAGCATTGCCGCGGTGCATCTGAAGGAGGTCTTGATAAAAGCCCCGCTTACTCTGAGGGAAGACCATGACGAGGGGGCGGAGACGGTGTTGGAACTGAGGCCTGTGGCGGAGTCGGCGAGGACGTTTTCGGAGGAGTGGTTCGAGTTTGAGGTTTCGAGTTTTGAGGAGGGTCTGGAGACGAGGCATTGCCATGGGAGGATTTGGGTTGAGTATGGCGAGCCGAGGGGGTTGAGGTCGTTGACAAAAGTGGAGGGGGTGGAGGAGATGCAGGGGAGGGCGTTGTTTTTCCGGCAGAGGTGGCAGTCTTGTTTTGATTTGTTGGAGGGGGCCGAGGTTGAGGGGGGAGTTGGGGGCTGGTGAGGTTGTATACCTTTCAGCATCCTACTTCGAGGATTTTGCTGGCTATGAAATACTCTGAGGCTGAAGCTCTGCTGGCTCATTTGGCAGTGCCAGTCACGGGCCGACCGCTGTATGAGACTCTGCATATTCTGAGCGAGGAAACTCAGTGGCCGGAAAGGTTTGATGTGTTGGGTAGGCCAGAAGGCCGGTATGATCTCGTTATCGTGGGGAAGGACGCTGAGCTTTCTCCTGAGGCACTGCAAACATCACTTGCCAGCAATGCTGTGGTTGTCACCAGCGAGTCTCTTACGGAATGGACACCGGTTGCAACCGTTTCCGAATGGACCGCTTATCGCCCAGCAACCAACGTCTCCACAGCTCAGATTGACTTGACAGTGGTCCTACCAACTGTTTCCTCGGAAACAACACGAGCCATCCTGGAAGAACTCGAGGCATCCCCCTACATCGCCTCAGTTACCACCACCACCATAAACGAAGTCACCGCTCATAATCTCGCCCCCAAGCACGTCGTAGTCCTAAGCAGCCTTTACAACCACCCAAACCCCATCGACCCCCCCTCAGAATGGTTCGGCACCCGCCACCTCCTCACCCTTGAAAACATCACCCTCCTCTGGCTCACCCTCGACGCAACAATCCAATCCACCAACCCCTCTCACGCCAAAATCCTCGGCCTCCTCCGCGTGGCCCGCAACGAAAACCAAGCCTCTCGCCTCCTCTCCCTCGACATCCAACCCTCCACCTCCCCCGCTCTCATCACAAAACAGATCCTCCCCTGCCTGTCAACCGCCTCAGAAGAGGACTTCTCCCTCCACCACACAACCCTCCACATCCCCCGCATAGAAGAAGACCTCCCCCTCAACCGTAAACTCCCCTCCGGCCTCGGCAGCCTCCCCCAACCCTCACCTTACAATTCCCACCCCTCCCTCGCCCTCCGAGTAGGCAAAATCGGCCTCCTCGAAACCCTCCACTTCGTCCCCCTCCCCCAAGACAACACCGCCCTTGGTGATAAACAAGTCCTCATTCGTGTCAAAGCCTCCGCCCTCAACTTCCACGACCTGGCTGTAGCGTTGGGGATAATCCAAGACTACAACATGGGCAACGAATGCGCGGGTGTCATCACCGCCGTTGGCGCCTCCGTTACTAACCTTTCCCCTGGGGACCGGGTGGTAGCTTACCGTCCTGGCCAGGGGGCACATCAGACTTTTGTTCGTCAGGATGGTGATATGTGCGTGAAGATACCTGACACAATGTCATTTTCTTTGGGGGCGAGTCTGCCCGTTACGATGACGACGGCGTTTTATTCGCTTTTCACGGTTGGACGGTTGCAAAGGGGAGAAACGGTTCTGATACACAGTGCTGCTGGGGGGGTTGGGCAGGTGGCGATTCAGATGGCGAAAAATATCGGGGCGAGGGTGCTGGTTACTTGTTCGGAGGGGAAGAGGGGGTTGATGAGGGAAAGGTATGGGATGGGGGAGGGGGAGGTGTTTAATTCGAGGGATGATTCTTTTGTGAGGGGGGTGATGGAGGCGACGGAAGGAAAAGGGGTGGATGTGGTGATTAATAGTCTGGCTGGGAAACTGCTTCATGCCACGTGGGGGTGTTTGGCGCCGTTTGGGAGGTTTGTCGAGATTGGGAAGAGGGACATACATCAGAATTCGAACTTGGGGATGGATCCGTTCAGGAGGAATGTCAGTTTTGCTTCGGTGGATATGATTTTGGTTTATGAGTTGGATAAACCCCTGGCGGCGAGGTTGTTGGGGGAGACGTTTGAGATGGTGTTTTCTGGGGAGGTGAGGCCGCCTGAGGGGTTGTTTGAGTATTCTTATGGTCAGGCGGAGAAGGCATTTCGGTTGATGCAGCTGGGGAGGCATACGGGGAAGGTTGTTCTTACTGTTGATGAGGAGGAGGAGGTGATGGTTGCCCCGCCGAGTTATGATCAGAGCTGTTATTCAAGGGGGATAGGACGTATATTTTGGTTGGGGGGTTGGGGGAGCTGGGGACGGCGACGGCGGAGTGGATGTATCTTCGTGGGGCGAGGAGGTTTGCGTTCATGTCCCGGTCGGGGGATCAGAGTAGTAATGGGAGGAAGACGGTGAATTGGCTCAGGTCGAGGAAGGCTGAGGTCAGTGTTTACAAGGGGGATGTGGGTGTTTTGGCTGATGTTGAGAACGTCGTTCGGGAGATTGGTCCTTCGCTGGCTGGCGTTTTCAATATTGCGGTTGTGCTACAGGACGGCATGATCAGGTCGTTGTCGTTTGATCAGTACCAGACCGGGCTGCACACCAAGTGCACCGGTGCGTGGAATTTGCACACAGCAACGTTGGGCATCGACTTGGACTTTTTCGTCTGCTGGTCGTCGGTGTCGGCCATCTGCGGTAACAAGGGACAAGGAGCCTATGTTGCCGCCAATGCGTACATGGATGCCTTCATGCGCTGGCGACGGGAGCAGGGCCTTGTCGGAACGGCTATGAATCTTGGTGCTGTGCCCACGAGGGGCTTGGTTGCTGAGAATGAGCTTGTCAGGAAGAGCCTCGACAGAAACAAGCTCGATATCCTCACGGAGCAAGAACTCATGTTTTTGAATGAGGAAGCAGTACAGCTGAAGAAGCCTGATGCCGCCACAGATGGCCTCGACTGGCATCAGCTGATTGTCGGCGTCAACACAAAGGAGCCTGATGTTTGGTGGTCGGAGCGGTCCGTCTTCCGCACACTATATGCCAACAGATCGTATGGCACCGGGGCCGGCAGCGGTGCTGCAGCTGGTCAAGTGAGCACGGCAAGCCTCCTCGCATCCGCAGGGAGCGTTGAGGACAAGACTGCCGTCTTACAGCAAGCGTTCACCCAGAAAGTGGCAACAGGCTTGAGCACACCAACAGAGAGCATTCTGCCAACCAACCCGTTATCATTCTATGGCCTCGACTCGATCGTGGCTGTCGAGTTCCGGAAATGGTTCAAGGAAACTGCCGTAGTTGACCTTTCGCTGTTTGATATACTTGGTGCAAAGTCCATTCAGGGGCTGGTCGAAAAGGTCGTGGCGTCGATGCCTGTTGCAGCAGTATCTTCGAGCGAGGAGCGTGTGAAGACATGTTCGGGTGAGAAGCAGACATCAGCGAGTGTTATCAATGGCCAACATGATCAGAGAAGGAAGCTGGATCACATCCCGAGACTCCAAACGTCTGGTCCGGTGCCAGTGTCAACTCACCAAGCGAGAATGTATGCTCGCCATGTCCGCGCCGAAGACAAGTCTCAGATGAACCTATGTGGTGTCCTGCGCATCAGTGGCCACCCAGATCTACCTGCACTAGGAAAAGCCTTCCACGAGACTGTACGACGGCACCAAGCACTGAGCACAGCATTCGTCCAAGACGGCAACCGGCTCGTTCAGTCACCATCGCCAGAGCCGAAATGCCATCTGATCATTGAGGACGTATCATATACCACATCCCCTCAAACAGAGCTCCAGATCATCATCTCACGTCTTCGAAACCAACAACTCGAGATAGCCAAAGGCGAAGTAGCAACTATGACCCTCGTTAGAACATCAGAAACCGAGTACTTTGTCATCTTCATCGCCCACCACATCTGCTTCGACAGAGCCAGCTTCACAATCCTCTCAGATGACTGGATGGACCTCTACGACGCGATCCGCTCCAGTCGAGACCTCGACACGGTCCCCTCCCCACCCATCACCTTTGCGGACTTCGCCCAGTGGCACAACACCCTCCTCAAGTTCCCACCAGCCCTCGCAAACCTAGACTTTTGGACCCAAGAGCTCACCAACCTCCCAACCGCCGGCACCCTCCTCCCCTTCGCCCAGCGAAAAACTCGCCCCTCAACCTGGCAAACCCACCGCCGTCACTTCACCACCCAACTCCCCTCCAAATTCTCCAAACGCCTAAAGCGCATCTGCGCCCACCTCTCCTCCACCCCCTTTCACTTCCTCCTCGCTGCGTGGCGAGCCTACCTGTTCCGGCACACCGCCGACAAAGATTTCACAATCCTAATGCTAGAAGGCAACCGTCCCCACCCCGACGTCGAGTCTGTGATCGGTTGCCTAGCTAACGTCCTCCCTCTCCGCTTCAACAACGACTGCTCCCTTCAGACACCCTTTGAAGATGTCATAACCTCCGCTCGGGACCTCACGCTTGAGGCGTTGGAGCATGCGGAGGTGTCGTTTGATGATATTGTCGATCGTGTGGTTGGAAAGGAAAACAGACCAGAGGGGCATATGCCGCTGGGGCAGGTGGCGATTAACTTCCAGATGCATGGTGGTGCGCCGTGGGAGTATAGGCATGCTGATTTTGAGGTGGGGGTTCATCGGTTGTATAATATTGGACATCCTTGCGAGCTGGTGCTTGAGGTTGTGGAGGGGGGGGAGGGGGAGTTTGGGTTTTTTATGCAGCATTGCACTGTGCTTTATCGGGATGAGGATATGGATCGGTTTGGGGAGGGGTTTGTGAGGTTCGTGGAGAGCGTGGTTAGGGACCATAGGCAGGTTGTGGGTGAGGTTTGAGGGGGGTCTTTTGGGGGGTGAGTAGGAAGTCAGGGGCGAGTGTTGCCGTGAGGGATACGGGCTTTTCATCATAGAAACAGACATGGTGTATGTCAGCTCAAAACCACACCATGACTCCCAGTGACAACCATAGACTCTGTTTGTTTCTTATCATGATATTGTAGCCTCCCAACTTACTTGTGTTACCCAACGAGACAAGTAGTGAAGTGTATTTCCATCCTCTATCAAAGTTCGGCTCACGTCATCTACCTACCTCTTTGGGTGGTGTCACTACCTCCTAACTTCTTCCTCATTCTCCATTTGTCTAGCTGCTTTCTCATTAGACGCGGGACTCTTGACCGGTAGCAATAATCTTGGATGGTAGGCAAGTGACGAAGTTGTACGACCGGGCAGCCTCGCCTTGCCTCGCGATGCTATTGGTGACGATCACACCTGAAGGAGGCAGTCATTCATCCCATGGCTTCCTCTGCTTGCAACATAAATAGGGACTTTATTTCTATGGAAAGTCAGGTTGATCTTTTCCCCTCTTTTTTCGTAACGTCGTCCATCCATCCATCTGTTTACTTTGGTGCTAGTAACTCTTGAAAACATTCCAGCCCATTTCAAGTCTCTTCTCACAGAACCAGAGACAAACACCCGCTCATCATCATGACGATAAGTGTTTGGTACTGCGTGAGTAAAACCCCCGAGGACATTCCATCTAGTCCTAACCTGCCACCAATCTCCCCCACTCGATCTTCCCATCCATGAATTAAAGTTGAGCTTCACCCCCAACTAACCACCTACCTACTATACACAGGAAAATTGCCTCGACGGCCCCTATAATACCGTCCTCGAAATATACTGCGCCAACTGCAACGCCCCACGCAATTCATACTGTACCGTCCAGGGTGTGTCCCCTCGGCGGTCGCTATTTCAGCCGCCCAGAAATGGCGCCGTCCAGAAATGGCGCCGTCACAACCACCTCCTCTACCACGACCTACTACTCCTCCTCTTCTTCGAGTTACCCGCGCCAAACATCGAGTCGATGAGAAGGTCACTCACTCTGACCTGCGGGTGATGGTTTGTTTGTGCGTACCTGTAGGCAGGGCAGGGCAGGGCACCTAGTTTTGACTGTTCGCAAGTCTTGACGTGAGCAACAGCTCGGTCTTGTGTATCTAGCTCACAGGTTGACTTTCATCCGAGACACAGATGAATATGATCTACTTCTTCATTTACTGTTGCCGTGCTCTCTGTACAAGACCTCATCTGATCTTCAGTCTCCCTTTCCGCATTCTTTACCTGTCAAGGAATCAACATAATATTTGCCAGATAACATCAACACCCAGCCCCCAATGTTGTATCTTGAGCTGAGTACAGTCGTCTGTAAGGGTATGTACTAAAAAGGGCCCCCCCTTACCCGTGGTCTAATAGCCGTCAAGACTGGGTACGGAGTCAGTGGAGCTTTTCAAGAGGGGAAAAAAAAACAGGGAAAAAACATACAACACCGAGGATTCCCCAGTGGTCACCCACCTGAGTACTGATTCGGCCCTCAGCTGTTTGACTCGGGCAGAGCGGACGGGATGCCGTATTTTCAGCTGGGTATGGTCGTATGTGCTTGTTGAAATCTGAAGATGGGATTATGTTTGGACGATCAGACCAGCACTGGGCATGCTCCGGTGGTTTGAGAAAGCGCCAACTTCAAAACATACCAGCAATACAGCTTTGGGTGTGTCAGTAATCGATAGACAATCAGAGCAGGAAGACAGTGTGTGGTTTGTAGAGGTACAAGTTTGAAAGGCACATCAACCGTCTCAAAGTCCGGGAGCATTTCTCACTGCACCAAAGACACACACACTCACAATGTTATTTATGTATGGCAGGAGAAAAGAACAAAACTGAAATCTGATGCAAAAATGCAAAAAGAATGTTGTGACTCGGATACCGGGAGTCGAACCCGGGGCTGTTGAGAGAGAGGCAATCACTTCTGAGAAGTGAGAGTCAACGATGTTACCGCTACACCATACCCGATGGAGGATGGTTCCGATTGGATTGATGAAAGCAGGAGTGGGTTGTGGCATTATGATGGAAGGCTTGTCCCGGCCCAAGTTGTGGGTGGAAACAAGTTTTTTCCGTCTTGGTTGGGGACGGCTGCCAGTTGTTGTTACGTACTGGCATCAAGGTCAGGGATAGCCTCACTTCGCACTTACACGGAAAACCTGGGGACAGAAATGTAAGCCAGAAAACAACACACAATGTCCATTTTCTCTGATCATCTCATCTATCCCAAACACAAACCCAAGCCCATCGTATATTATACATAGGCATCCATCCTCAGCAGGAGGCGATCGCAGTCAAGCCAACAACCAAGAGCCGCGATACTCAGTACCGCTGTTCCTACCATGGTGATAATCCCATCCCACCACAACAGGAACCCCCTCTCCAGCTGTTGACCCAACAACAACACCAGTCGAGCCTGTTTCTGATGAACCAACAAGATCCATCCCAACAAAGCCCACTGCACAACCCCCTGACGAAACCCCAACTCCAAAAAGCACCAAATCAACCCACTTCCCAACCACAAACCCTATCAATATCCCCAAAGCCAGAATCAACAGGCAAACCGTGAGCGTAAGCGAGCTGCTAACCTCTCGTTCAACCCAGTTCTGCCTGAAGCTCATCTGCCCAATCCGCATGTAAAACATCTCCTTCCTCTCCTCCTTCACCTTCCCTTCATGACTACTACTATACCCATAAACAACCCCAAACAAATCCGGCACCAACTCCACACTCTCCTTTGGCCGTGCCGTGGGTTTCTCCTCAACCCTTGGTGAGAAAAATTGTCAGGTCAGGGTCATTTATTGACTTTTTCCATCACAATATCGTCAGCAACAATAAGAAAAGAAAAGTCAAGGAGAGCTTACAGCAGTGTCAACGAGACATCACCCTGCAGCCTAGCCTTCAGCTCAACCTCCACGTCAAGGTTAAGCCCAAGCTGAAGCCTCACAGGCTTGGTGTCAGCCAGACGGGGCAGCACAGCAGGGTTGGACAAGCCGCCAGCCTGGGCGAGCTGCTTGTTGTTTCTGCGGCGGCGACGGCCGCGCGAGTCGACCGACGAGGCGTCCGAGGCGGAGTCGTCGAGCTAATAATTTCTCACGTCAACACATCGTTCGCGTCGGGCGTCGAACAAAAGCAAGAGAGAGAACAAAAAGATTTACCTGGCGGCGTAAGTCAGCAAGTAGCTTCTCTTGTGTGTTATTGTTTGATGATGATAATGGCTGTTGTTGTTGTTGTTGTTGTTGTCCACCAGCACCAAATCTCTCCCCAGCTCCCATACCCCTATCATACGTGGGACGAGAGGGGGGCAGAGGGGGGAGATTGGTTGGGTTGGGGAATGGGGAAGGGGCAGCAGAGGAAGAAGGAAAGGGAGGAGCAACCTTGGGCATGACGGGGTTGGAAGCCATTCTGTCGTTTGAAGAAGAGCTACTACTCAAAAAGGAGGTGTCTTGGTTGATCGTGATACAAGTCAGCGACTGCAAGAAACTGTGCGAGTGCTGGGCGTAAAAGACTGTCGGCCTGCGTTTGCGGGATTGCTGGACGAGGCGGAGGGGACGGGCTTTTCCCGACGAGGTGAAGACGGTGCGAGAAGGCTTTGCTGATGATGATGGTTGAACTAGGGGTGGTGAGACTGACTGCTGCCGACGAAAGGATGTGTCGGTGGGTGATCTGCCGTCTTCTTCTTCAAAGTCGTCTAACCGATGGTGATGGTGGTGATGGGCGGCTCGCGCAGGTAACGGTCTAGAAGGGAATGCCGGCTTCTTAGGACCGGGTCGATAATGAAGATAATCGTTGGAGCCGGGAAGCGGCGGGAGGGTGCGCGGGGTAAGTGAGTACCTTGAGGGCGAAGAGAGGGAGTCTTGACGACGACGATGATGTTGTTGATGATGCTGGAGAGAAGCTTGAACGCTTTCCCCTGGCCGGTGAACGGGAAAGCGAGGGAATGTACAAAGGTGAGAATACCGCTGCTGGGTTTGATCCACGCCGTGCGGCTCCTGTAGTAAATGGGTTGGTCGGACTTCCAGAGCCGACGAAGAACAAAAATGAAGTGAAAGTTGTTGTTGATAGAAGCTGGTGCTTGCTGATGCTGAGAGGAGAGATGAACACAAAACAACGAGGGAGATCCACGGTTATATACCAGATCCATCAACCTCTTCCTGCAACCTCCAAACTGATCATCTCCATGCCATCACTCCCAAAGGAGAGTCAGTCACATCTTCCACTGGACAGAGTACCTCGACCTAGACCCCTGCCAAGACGACCTTTGCCTTCCTCCCCCCCCATATCCGCCAGTTCCATATCCCCCAATCGCCTCATTCGCAACCTGAACAAAACCCCAGCCTTGCTTCAACTCCTACGTCAACGTTCATGGTCGTCTTCCTCCTCTGTCGATGTTTGTTTGGAGTCAGGGGTGTCACGTGCCACCAACAAGGGGCTACCCGCAAGCGACAATGCTTGTCTTGCTTGTGTAAGCTTGGGCACGGCACTCCCAAAACAACCACTCGTACGATCTCGGATGAAACCCCAGACTTTCACCAATCGCCACAGACGTTAGAACTCAGACGCGTGGGACGATTTCCCATCGGAATCGTCAGTCATCCTGCCTCTTTGACCCTCAAGTCCCCCCAACACCTCCAACCTGCAACCATCCATCCTGAGTTATGTTGATGCAACGGTTTCCTCCATTGTGAAGATCCCCCTTTTTTCGCAACATGATAAACAGCCAAAACATCAACTCGAACGATTTTCTCTAGGCGGCGAACTGTATATCGTTGACATTTATCTTATCCTCGGGTCATTATAGCGTATCCTCAATGTACACAATATCTCGGTGCGATTGTGACCGAAAGAGCGAGCAGCTTGGATTGAGTTGCGAGTCAGATACCGAGTTCGCGCGCCAGAAAAGACCATGCATCTACCTAACAAATACCGACTTCAGACGACCAACAACAAAAGAGAAATCTACTGGCAAAACATCACAAATAGTTAGCCACCCAGCCAATTATACAAAACAGTAAACGCCTTCCTAATCCTAGCCAGCCCCTGTTTTTTTTTCGTCCCAGAGATAGGGAAAGTACATCATTATCAGGCCACACGCCGGGCTCACTTTTGTTTCTACTCTTGATGAAACATCTTGACTGTCCAACTTTGGTTGCCAACACCGTCCTTTCATCCAGTCATCTCCATTGGGTCATCAAGCCCCGAAGGGTCACCATTCCCAGTCCATCTCAGCGGGTCATCCATCCCAAATCTCACACAGGGTCATCACTCCCCAAAGGGTCACCAATCCCAACCCATCTCAACCACCATCAATCCCACCTTACCACTCCCCCATCAAGTCTACGTACTCAACAAATCCCTCACACTCATCCCCCGCCCCCTCTGCTCCCCATTCCCATTCCCATTCCCATTCCCATTCCCACTTCCCCCACCCCCACCCCTCACCCCCATCTGATTCAACATAAACAACGCATGCCGTACCCTCCTGATCGAAATACACTCGGCCACAGCGACGGACTAGTCAATTGCGAAACTTACACTCTATCTAAATAATAAAAGTCACTACCGCCATGCTGCGCCGCAACAAATGGATTCTTCTTGCGCTGAAA